GTATTTAAGAATATCACTGAAAATCTCTATCAAGTTTTAGGGAAAAATAAAAGATGAAATATGGGCTTAGAAGGCAGCTTTTTGCTCCTTTGCCATCTGAGTCCTCAGAAATACCTGTTCTTTCTCCACTGTCATTAAGATGAGACTGAAAATAGCCTGGTTGTATGAGCTCCCGCTCTGGATGTTGAAAGCAATATCTTTTTTTTCTCATGATGCCCCTTTAAGAAAACTTATCGGATACATTCTATAAAATAATGTCCAGAAAGCTTAAGTGGGACCATTCTGTAAGTTAAGAGTTATCTGTATGCTGTGCTAATTTATATTCAGTTTTCTGACTCGAGTTGTTAAAGTCTGATAAATGAAATCTATTAAATGGGGAAACAACAACCTCTTCAATAAACGGTGCTGGCAAAACTGGATATCTACCTGCAGAAAAGGAAATAGGATCCACATTCCACACCTAGAGGTAAAAGCCCAGGACCATAGGATAATAAGAAGAAATGGGAACAAATTTAGAAGCCCTTTCCCACTGCATAAATAGGCTTGCACATATAGCCAGAGGTGCGCAACCCGGAGAGGATAAAACCCATGAATGGGACCTTATAAAAATTAAGTCACTGTGTGTAGCAAAAACATTTTCCAACAGGGTGAAAAGAAAGCTTAAAGACTGGGAAACAACATTCGGCAATGACATCTCAGACAAGGGTCTCATAATGAAAGTTTACAGAATAGTACAGGGCCTCCATAAGGGAAAAAAAAAGACTGATAAACCAATAACAAAATGGACAAAAAACATGAAAATACTTTTCACCGAGAAAGACATTTGGATGGCCAATAAAGACTTGAAGAAATGCTCAAAATCACTGGCAATTAGAGAAATACAAATCAAAACTGCAATGAGCTACCGTCTCATCCCAGTAGCAGTGGCAAAGTTTAACAGGACAGCAAACAATGAATGTTAGAGAGGATATGGAGAGATTAGCACTCTCATGCATTGTTGGTGGGATGGTAAAATGGTACAGCTACTCTGGAAAGTACTCTGGCATTTCCTAAAATAAACTGAACATAGAAATCCCAAATGACTTAGCTATTCCACTGCTAGGAATATACCCAAAGTAAATGAAAACTGAGACATCATTAGAGATTTATACACCTATGTTCATGGCTGACCAAGTGTATTGATTGTGGATCCAAGTAAGATGAAGTTGTTGACAGTCTCAATGTTTTTCTCCATCTCTCATGATGTTGCCTATTGGTCCAGTGGTGAGGATTTCTGTTTTCTTGATGTTGAGATATAATCCATATTAAAGGCTGCAGTGTTTAACCTTCTTCAGCAAGTGCTTCAAGTCCTCCTCACTTTCAACAAGCAAAGTATGTCAGCTGCTTAATGAAGATTATTGATGAATCTTCCTCCACTCCTGATGTCACAATCATCTGGATAAAGTCCAGCTTCTCAAATAATTTGTTTAGCATACAAATTAAATGCCTCTTGGAGGAAAAGGTGATAAAGCTTTGTCTCACATACTTTAGGCATATTGCTAGGAGAGGGTATTCCTTGGAGATATGCTGCATGCTTGGAATGGTGGAGAGACACAAAGGAGAGAAAAACCTTCAACCGTGTAAACCGAGGCAGTGACTACAGCAATGGGCTTGAGTGTGTCAGTGATGGTGAGGATGACACAAGATAAGACATTGTTCAGACCTGTTGTTCACAATGTAACTTAATGAGTTAAACCTGACTCAATAGCACCTTTCAAAAACAAGAACAGTGTTCATACATAGTAGTTCTGTTAGCAGTAGAAAGAAAATGGAAACAGGCCAGTCCCCACCAACAAATGAATAGACTGGGAAATTTTGGTACATTCACACAATGGAATACTATGCAGCATTAAAGAACAACAGTTTTATAAAATACTATATAACATTGGAGGGTTATGCTGAGTGAACTGTCTCAGTTTCATTTGGACATATACTGCATAAGACCATTATTTTAAAAATAGAAGATAACTAGTAAGATGCATATAAATGTCCACAAGGGTTAAGGAGAAGGGAGGAAGGGGCTGGGGGGAAAGGGAAAGGGTAGAAATCACTAGGATAGCAGAGTTTAGTAGGAGGAGGACAGTGAAGGAATAGGAAAGATTCAGTGGAGACTTGAAAAGATGGTAAATAATAGGCATGGGTCAATAGTCATTGATTCTATAAACTACAATGTATATAAATGATTGTATGAAACTAAATGTTAATGAAAGTGTGTAAAACCATTGTACGTGAAATAAAATATTAACAGATTATTGTATGAAAACCAACTTTAAAATTCTGATCAGTTTAAAAACAGAGCATTGGGAAAAGCACAAGCAGCAAAGGCCAAAATTGATGAATTGTTTTTGTTAGGTGCCATTAAGTTAACTACACTCATAGCAACCCTGTGAACAGCAGAGGAGAACCTTGACCTGTCCTGCCCCATCTTCAGTCTGCTTCATGCTCAAAATTTTAAAAATAGAAAACAAGCTCTCTTAAGTATTCTTGTTCATAAAAAACAAACAAATAAAAACAGCCTTTATTTAAGGGATCTCTGGTAACCTAGTGGCAAGAAGATGTATTGCAACCACGAAAGCATGCAGTTCGAATCCACCAGATGCTCAGCTGGAGACAGAGGAACATTCATCTCCTGTGCCAGTTGGATCCGATTTGACGGCACGCAACAGGTTAAAAAAAAAAAACTATTTTAAAAAGTGAGTAAGTCCAGAATAGGAGAAAATTTGGGTAAACTATGCAACAATAGTCTAATATCTAAAACTTAAAAAAGTCTTCAGTATCATATAGGCAGACAACCTAATTTTAAAATATGAGTGAAGAGTTTGGACAGACGTTTCACCAACAAGGATATTCAAAATGCCCAAGAAGCACCTGAAAAGATGCTCAGTCATTAGCGACTTAAGGAGGTACAAATCAAAGCTACAATGAGAGATCATCTAACGAGCCATTAGAATAACTCAGCTCATCACTCTCAGGTCAGTTCCAACTAATTGCTGACCCTCCATCAGGTTTCTAAATCACTTCCCGTCTTTGTCCTGCAGAATGGCTGATGGATTCGAACTACCAGAGACGGGTGGCCTTTAGGATAATAGAGCAACATGCTGTGGACTGCACCACCAGAACTCTTGAGCATTAACAAAGAAAGCAGTGATAGGAGGGGGGCGGAATTAGAAAATAAAACCTAGCAATTCTTCTAAGCATATACTCAAAATACTTGAACACAATAATGTAAACGTATATATGTGTGTACCAAGGTTCCTTGCAGCCCTAGTCACAGTAATCAAGAAAGGAGGAATAGACCCAATGTCCATCACCTAATAACTGGATAAATAAAATGTGGCATATACAGACAATGGAATATCACTCAGCCGTAAAGAAGAATGATTCATACAGCTACTTGGATGAGCCTTGAAAACCTTATGCTTAGTGAAGTACGTTAAAAAGGGCAAATACTATTTGATCTCGCTTCTATGAAAAGACAGTTATATAGAAACTATTAGTAATTAGCACTTACCAGAGACAAGAAGGAGGGAGAAAGTGGACACTTTTCCTTAAAATGCATTGAATGTATATTAATGGTGTTGAAAGTGGGGAAAAGACAGGGAGAAAGGTCGCACCATTTGAAGACTATAATCAGGATCATTGAAATGTACATGTTAAAATACTCTATGTTTTTTCATATGTATATGACCATAATTTTTTAAATGTGTAAACAAGGAAAATTATGTTTTTTATTAATAACCAAAAGAGACATGTCTAACCAGCTTCATAGAGAACATGCATCTTCAAGCTACTTAAATAACAGGCTAGTTTGCCAAGTTTCGTAATGATTTTTTTTAAAAAAAAAAACACCTTTATTAATTGCCTTTTATTTTAAAGCATCTTAGAAGATTTGCTATCTTGCAAGATATAGTTTGTACAGTATAAAAAAATGACACTTTATTGCATGATAAGGTAACGACTTAAAAATTGTTTGGACTTAAGCTCATCCAAGGAAAGAATTCTTGTCCATTTTGCTCACAGACACTTGTGTTGCACTTAGAATAATGTCAAGTTGCAGATAAATGTATATCCACTTACAACCAAGAGATGATAAAATAGATGAATAGGACCTTCTAAAAGTCAAATCCCTATGCACATCCAAAAATTCTCCGATAGGGTAAAAAGGAAAGCCAGAAATTGGGAAACAATATTTGACAATGACATTTCTGATATGGGATGTAAATCTAAAATTCATAGAATACTCCAGCACCTCAACAGCAAAAAGGCAAACAACCCAATCACAAAATGGACAAAAGATATGAATAGACATTTCACCAAAGATGAAATCCAGGTTGCCAGTAAATACAGGAAGAAAAGTTTAAAATCTCTAGCTATCAGAGAGATGCAAATCAAAGCAACAATGAGATACCCTCTCACCCCAGCAACAATCAATAGGAAAGTTCAGTAGAGGAGAAAACCACAAATACTGGTGTGGATGTGGAAAGACTGAAACTTTCATTCACTGCTTGTGGTGGGAATGTAAAATAGTACAACTACTACGGAAAGCAGTTGGCATTGTTTTAAAATATTGGAAATAATGCTATGTGACCCAGATATCCCACTACTGGGAGCTCTGGTGGCTTAGTGGTAAGGCATTGCAAAGACATCCCAAAGGTATGCACTTCGAATCCACCATCTGTTCCCCTGAAGAAAGATGAGCATTCTCCTCTCATGTGATTTACTGACTCTAAAAACCCAGATCAACTATGGGTCAGTTCTGACTCAACAGTACACAACAACAATCCCACTATTGGAAATATGCCCTAAAGAAAATCAGAACCATGATGCAAACAGATGTCTGCAGATCCATGTTTATTGCACCATTATTCACAATAATAAAGAGATGGAGACAGCCCAAGTGCCTGTCCACAAATAGATGGATAGAAAACTACAGTAGGCAGGTAGCTGCCACCGCCACCACCATGAACAGCATCAGGGAGGCATGCATGGACGTGAAGCGAGAATACAACCAGTGCTTCAGTCGCTGGTTTGCAGAGAAGTTCCTCAAAGGGAATGGCTCTGCAGACCCTTGCACTGACCTCTTCAAGAGCTATCAGCAGGGTGTCCAGAAAGCAATAAAGGAGAAGGAGATTCCTATTGAAGGACTGGAGTTCATGGGCTATGGCAAAGAAAAGTCTGAAAGCTCTTCTTGACCTTGACAGTCACCTTGCAAATGGACTCCTCAAATCATCAGCAAACTGGAAATTGGATTTTGTCCATTAAGACTTGTGAATAAAGCCATCAATTTGATGAGGAATTTAGGAGAGAATTTTATTTCTTCCTTCTCGAGGTATTCCTCTTACCTGCTCTGACATTTTATAGGAACTGAATGTGCTAAAACTAATTTTTTAGGGATAGTGGTTACAATACTTGGTCTGGGATCAGCCTTAAATGTGTATACATAACGATAAACTTGTCAGGATGGCCAGGGTTGCCTGGCCCCTTGAATTATATTGCAGAGGATACACTGTCCTGGTGTCACTGTTGATAGAAGCAAATGGTTATTAGGACTTCTCTCAGGAATCAGTGTTCTGAAGAGAGACTCAACTTGTGACAGCAATTATATTTTTATATAATAATTTAAGAGTTGAGATTGCTGTGAGCCTGGGTTAACCAAAAGGAAGACAACTTTTAACAGTCTTACAGCGCTGCTTTAACAAGTGTCAGATCTGAAAGCTTCAACAGTGTGTTGCATTGAACATCAGAGTTCCAAGTTACAATATAGTTCGGGAATTAAGATCCTTAGGGTAGCTATAAAGGAAAACCCTAAATATCAAAGATGGTATGTCATTATATATATATAGTGTGTGTGTGTATATATGTGTGTGTGTATATATGTGTGTGTGTGTGTGTGTGTATATAAATGTCAAAATGCTGCATCTAGTCAAATGGGTGAAAAAAAGTTTTCTTTATTTGCCTTCTTTTCTTGCCTAGTAATCTTGCCTGGTAATCATGAATACAGACAGAATAAATTAGATTTCATTTAAAAAAAAACCAAACTACAGTATATTTACACAGCAATATTGAAAAACAGTGAACTTGTAAAACACTACACAACATGAATGAGTCTGGAAGACATTATGCTGAGTGAAATATCTTAGTCACAAAAGGATAAATACTGCATAAGACCACTGTTATAAAATAGGATTGACATGGTTGGGGACGGGACAAGAATAGCTGATGAGCACTTCTCTGGAACAGTTGAAGGAAAGGACAGTCTGAAAGGAATCTATGATTGGGCACTCTATATATGACCTTAACAATCTGGAACAAGCAGTGCATTACAAAGTGAACTGGGGGAGGAGAAAGGAAGGAAGAGGGAAGAAAATGTGCATCAGTGAATGAATGAAAGTCCAGTCTTTCTGTAAATTTTTATTAATACTACAATTTCAAAAAATAAAAGTATGTTCACTGAAAGTTTATCAAATGTCCTGATGTAAAAGAAGTCATTTATCTTTACCTTTTTACTATGTTTTTGGTATCACAGATGTTTATAAAAATATATATAAATTACAGGGGAACTCTGGTGGCCTAGTGGTAAGGAGCTGCAACTACAATCCCAGAGGTGCATGGTTCAAATCTACCAGATGCTCTGCCGGGGAAGGAGGGACAATCTCCTCCTGTACCAGTCAGATCTGATTTGACGGTACACTCACACAAAAATAATAAAATAAAATAAAAATTAAAAAATATATAAATTACTAAATCCTTTCTTTTCTGGTGAAGATTTGCCACACACCGACACAGCATTCACCATCCTTATCACCTGGGTGATGTCTGTGCGTTATTGGTTGTTGTCAAGTTGAGCTCACTCATCAAACCCTGTGTGTGCAGAGTAGAAAAGGTCCATTAAGTTCAAAAGCCGTGACCTTGTGGAAGCAGGTGGCCAGGTCTGATCGCATTTGGTCGATAGTCATGTACCTGTTTCAGCACCCAGGGACTCACTCATTTACTGTCCTGTTTTATAACTGCTTTTCTTCTTCTGTTCCTTTTAAAATATTATTATTATTTGTTGTTGTTGTTATGTGCCTTTGAGTCGCTTGTGATTCATGGCGACCCTATATACAAGAGACCTGAAACCTGCTCTATCCTGTGCTAACCTTATTGTCTCTGACACACCTACCCTTATTACCCTAGTCACAGAATCACTCCATCTCATCAAGGGTTTTCCTCTCTTGAGCTGTTCCTCCACCCTTCAAGCATGATGCCTGTCTCCAAGGACTGAGTCCTCTTTGCAATATGCTCAAAGTATGTCAGATGAAGCCTCAGAATCCTTGCCTCCAAAAAGCAGCCTGCCTTCACCCTCTCTAGGATGAACCTGTTTGTTCTCCTGGCAGTCCATGGCATATTCAGTACTGTACTCTTCTCCAGAAAATGGACAAAAACAAACAAAACAAAAAAAAACACCATAAAACAAAGCAAAGCCCATTGCCATTGAGTTAATTCTGATTTAAGTTTCTGAGGCAGTAAATCCTTATAGAAATCTACTGACTAGTTTTCTTCCATGGAGCTGCTGGTGAATTTGAACTTCCAAAGTTTTGGGTTAGTGCTGGGCCAATAGACAACATCATGATAATAGAGAAAAGATAGAAGTTTTCAATTATTTCATCTTACTTCAGTTCACAATTAAGACCCTTGTTACCAGCAGTCAAGAAATCCAAAGATTATTTGCACTGGGAAAATCTGCTGTTAAGGATATTTCCAGACTACTAAAAGAGCAAGGATGTCAGTTTAAAGACTAAAGTGTGCCTGATCCAAAGCATGGTCTTTTCAATTAATTCTCATGCATCTGGAAGATGGACAGGGACTAAGGATGTCAGAAGAATCATTGCCCTTAAGTTGTGGTGTTGGAGAAGAGTATTGAATATCCCATAGGCTACCAAGAGAACAAATATTTCTATCCTAGAGAATGAAACCAGGGTGTTCCTTGGAGCAAGGATGGTGAAGCTCCACCTCTCTTAATTTGGCCATATTGTAAAGAGGAACCAGTTCTTGGAGAATGACATCAAGCCTGGAAAGGTGGAAAGTCAATATAAGAGAGGAAAGCCCTCAATGAGATGGAGTAACACAGTAATTTATAAGCTCAAGTGTGTCGGAGATGATGAAGATGGCACAGGGTAGATAGTGCACTGTTCAGGGCCAACAACAATGTTACCAGGACTCACAGAGACAGCTGTGTTTTCAGCTGTAAAGGAAAAGAGAAACAGGGGCCCACATGTTGTTGTATTTAGTTGATTTTGGTTGTGGTTTGTTGGACTTGGTGGTTGTTTTGTTCTGAAAAAGGAAAATAAAATTCCTACAGAATTAGTTTACCTCTTGAGTCCTTAACATTTACCAAGTAGAAAAACTAGTTTGTAGAGTAAATGTAAGAGATGTGCTGATTTTGGTTTAGGGTTTTGTGGGGTTTTTTTACCATATACCATTTTTATTCTTAAAAGGCTGAAAATTTGGAATTTTCAGAGTTTGACAAAATATTTGATTATCAGTATAGATTTGATTATTGGAGTAATTTATTTTTAAATGGTATTAATATTTAAGACAGTGCTGTGAGATGAGGTAGTAGCTGCTAGATTTTGAAACCTAAGCACATTGAATTGTTTGGCTCTCATCAGATGATTCTTTTGCTGTGACTATTTTCTACCTACTGTTCCTGGCAAGATCCTACCTCTGAAGAGCAAAGCGTTTCATCACAGTAGACTTCCTTCCATAAATATTATTCCCCTAATGTCTTCCTTCCTTTTATGGCTTGTTAGGATTTTTTGCATCTGCTGAGTGATTGACTACTAAATAAAATATTTGTCCTCCAAAACAACTATTTTAAGAGCTGGAGCCTTTTCAATCACTTTGATAGAAATAATATTTTGCTTAAGAAAAGGACTTTTCCCTCAGAGTACTCAAAACACTATATAATGCTATTCATATTCTCCCTGCCTGTCTCTGTCCTTATTTGTCTGTATTAATTCTTTTCTACTATTATTCCCTCCCATGTTGTAATTTAATATCCTCTTGTGCTTCAAAAGATTAATTGATGGACCAATTTTGTAGAAGTCTTGGATTTAGTCCAGTGCTGGCTTTAGTTATTACAGCTCATCGCTGCATGTCTTTTCTTTATTGGAGGTAAACTGTGTACAGTAATGACTATCTCTAATTGAAGAAGGCCTGAGGAAATTTCTTCCCCAGTATGTAAAAATAACTGTTCCCATTTCGTTCAGTGGAGAACTGGGAATGTTAGTAAACATCTTTTAGTTCTTTAACTTCTTTAACTTTATAGTGTAACCTTTATGTAGATGCCACACTTGGTGTACTAGTGATAATTCTTCTTAGTGTTCCCTATCTTTATTCCATCACTTGTTTAAAATGAATTTTGGTAAAATGATGCTTTGGATGATGCTATGAACTTTTCCTCAGTTGAAAAATATCTTTTGATAGCATTTACTTCTCAATTACTGTAATATTTTATTGATAAAATAATGCATTTATTTCCACTTTTAGTTCATCCTTGTAAAAAAAAATTTAAGCAAAATTTGTTCCGTGTCATCTTATATGACATATTGTGTCTTTTTTGTGTTTAGTTTGTATTGATCAGTGAACTGCTCCGTAGCCTGGTGCCCAGGGAGCTGTGCTCCTAATGCAGAACTACGCTTAGCCAGCGGTTTGAATCCACCAGCATCTCCTCAGGAGAATGATAGGCAGTCTACTCCCAGTGCAATTTATAGCCACAAAAATCCTATAGAGGCAACGAGTTGAGTTAAAAGAGAAGTTTTTAGTAGCTGTTTGAAACTCTTGGGTGTCTTCTTTCTAACTCAATTTTTTTATATATATTTTGCTTTGATAAAAAGTTTAAACAGCAAATAATGTTTCCATTTAACAGTTTCTATATTCTGGTGGGATAAAAGAGAGGAAGAACCTCAACCAGGTAGATTGACACAGTGACTGACGCAACGAGCTCAAGTGTGAAAGATTGTGAAGCTGGCACAAGATAGGACAGGGTTCAGATCTGCTGTTTATAAAGTTGCTATGAGTTGTACTAGACTTGATGGCACTCAACAACAACAGCTGTGGTGACATAGTGGATAACGAGTTAACACTGCCAACCCAAAGACGTATTGCTCTGTTGAAGAAAGATGGGTAGTCTGTTCTTGTGTTACTTACA